ATGCCGGGCTTGCCCAGAAAAGGCTGCACATGCAATTACAGCACAATATAACATTCTCCCGTTTACATTTTCAGCAACGTTTTAATCTTTTTTTAAATAGCCAGGAACTTAATTTAACACTAATTTAAAAGTTAATTTTAAAAAATAGCAAAGCAATCACAAGGTGCCCACAACAAAGATGATACCAAAAGTGTGCTCAGCTTCGTCTGGCCATGCAGAGGTGCCAGCCTCCCTCTCCCCCACCTGCGGCAGGTATGCCATGCACCTGGCACAGGAAGCATTTGCCTGGCCTCTTTCTCACAGTTTGAAAGGGGCTCCAGATTGTGCACTCATCCTGCAACCTTCCTACCACTCCATCTGTCTTTTTCTTTCCATAAGCTAAAATCTGTTAAGGAGGAAAAGCTGAAAAATGCATTTCAACGGTTTGTGTTAGGAGCCATTCCTGGGGAGGTGGGGTAACGATACAAAGAGGCAGAATAAACCAAGAGGCATGCAATGCCCCTGACAGCGTGCGGCATCGAAGGCCGTTCTGCCTAGGAGGCCCAGAAGCAGCCTGACACAGAGTTGAACCTTTGGCCCATCTAGTCCAATGCTGCCCACACTCGGTGGCAGCAGTTTTCCAGGGTTCCAGGCACGGGTCATTCAAAATTTACCTGGAGATCTCAGAGCAGTGCCTTGGCACCTTCCGCATGCAAAGCAGGGCTCTGCCACAGAGCGATGGCCTCTCCCGTATTTCCCTGAAGAGCCACCCGGAAGCAGCCCTCGTCTGCGGGGTCGCTCTCGATATGCTGGGCACCAGATGGGGCAGACGAGGTGCTTCCCCTCCTGGGCCACAGGGTGGAAAGAGTCTCCTCAGCACAGGAAGGGCATGCATGGGAGCCGGTTCTCCCACCGTGTGCCTGTGCCCACAGGCCCCTTTTCAGCCCTCCCAAGGTTCTCTCCCAGCAGGGTAGAGACTCCCAAGAAAAACCTCTCAATACACATTTTTAACTGGAATGCTGACATGCTGCATTCAGAGCCATCTTGGCTTCAGAGAACGCCTCATGTGGCAGTCTTGGCCCAGGCACTATCATCCTCCGTTTGCATAGGAAACTGCGGGTTCAAAGAGTGGTTTTGTGCTTGGGATCCCAGATCCCCTGCCCGCCTTGTTCTCTTTGAGCCTTGCCCGCTGGCCGGTGGGCAATCGCTGTGTTGGAACTGGCTGTGGCCATCACAGCAACCATTTTGGCATGGCCAACCCTGCCAGGGCAGTCCCTTTGTGATCGACATTCCAAATGTGCCCACAAACCCCAGCCGTTGGAGGACCTTCATGCAAACCTGCCCTTCAAATGGCCTGTCCTCAGATGCTCGACCAGCACAACACGAACACAGAGATACTCCAAGGGGAAGGAAGGAGCACTCAGACCGTTAACGATCAAGCCACTCTGCCAGAGGGAACTCCCTCAATGCTCCACACTGAATTGCAGCCAGCCACTGGGCTCCCGGCGGAGTTCCCACCCAGGAGCACCCCAGTTTCAGCCAAGCTTTGCCCTGGCACGTCCTGCTGCTCCCAGATGCGGCAACTCCCCTCCCCCAGATTTGCTACAGCTGGGCGGCGGTGCTGAGGACGTCCCGGGTGCCAGGACATGGGCCACCGGGGCCCATCACTGGCCCTACCCACTGAACGAAGCATGGACGCAAACAGCCTCAGGAAAGCGGCATGCGGCTAATGCAGCAGGCAACGTCTGGCACCCTCCCTGGGCGGCCCAGAGCCGGCTGCCGCTTGCAGGGAGCAGCGCTAGGTGGCGAAGGAGGCGCCGGGCATGATGCCGTCACAGTCCAGGGCCCTCACCAAACTCCGCCGGGCTGGCAACTCGAGGCCCACTGACTTGATGGGTTTGTTCTCTTTCATCACGGAAGACAATGCACAGCAAGGGTTTGAGGTGGCCACCATTCAGGTGCTGACCAGGCTGTCAGTGCACTGATGTCCTCATGTACCATGTGCCACAGCAGTAGCCAGCGCAGTTCCTTTAACACTGTAATGCAGGCATATCCTCATGCTCCATGGCTCATTTCAGGGGCAGCATTCTGCGCCAGCTGTAGCTTCAGCACCAAGCGCAGTAACGGTACATTTTGACAGCTAATGCTGAGCTAGTGCAAGGGTCAGTGGTCAGGTGACCCTTGTCCAGTAATGGGTGAAGTTGCTGCACCAGCAGAAGCTGGCAAGGAGTAACCCAACCCACTAAGGTAGCTGGGGGCTGCAGTGACAAAAAAAGAGGGTCCGGGAACACCATCCACGGCAGACCAGTTCCTTCAGAGGAAGCGCAGGGGTCCTCAAACTTTCTGAATAGGGGGCCAGCTGAAAGGCGCCAGGGATGGGCATGGGACGCCAAGGTGGTGCGGGCAGAGGGCACAGGCTGGGGGAGGGGGCGCATGCACATGCATGCGCAGAGATCATTTTCTCCCAGTGAGTCCAAAACAATCTCCTTGTGAGCAAGCCGGCACCCTGCTGTGCGCGCGCGCGTGTGCATGTGCGCAGGGCGAGCTATGGCACGGCAGACCAGATCCAGCCCCTGGGCCATAGTTTGAAGACCCACGCGCTAACCCATCCATGGCAGGCGTGGGTGTTGCATGCCGCCAAGTCATCCCTGAGGGCAACCCCATGAATGAACGCCCTCCAGAATGGCCTCTCCAGGACAGCCCCACTCAGTTCCCCCAAGCCGGAGGCGGCGGCTTCCTGTATGAAGTCCGTGCATCGCACAGTTGCTCTTCCCTTGCACCTTCCGCCGCCGACTTTCTCAGGCACCGTTGCCTTCTCCAGGGAGCATCTCCGCCTCATGATGTGTCCAAAGTAGGACGGCCTCAGTTGTGCCATTTTTGCCTCCAGCATCTCGTCTGTCAGTCCAGAGTGTTTGCTAAACCCTCCTCCAGCCCCAGACTGACATTCTGTGCTGCTGACCTCAGACTCCAGTCTGACTCTGCAAGGTGTGCTTTGACCTGGGCGTGTGCTTGGCCCACTTGCTGGACTGCAACCTCGGTGCCCATTCGGGGACCTCACCCACTGGATGGCTCCACCAGCTGGAGTCTGCTTCAGCCAGGACTGCCGTATGACTGAGACATGATCCCCCCTCAACTTGAACTACAGTGCTCAGGGCTGTTACCCCCAAACACAAGTACTGCACAACTTCCATGCTCTGACGTAAGCATCTTCCTTTTCCCAGGAATTTTAGTCTTTCAGTCTGCTATTTTAAATCTCACACTGAATTTTAAGGTTTTGCTCCTAGGTTTAGCTGGCCTTTACTGATATTTTACACTGTAATTTTAAGCTGTTTAATTTTAGAGCATACTTTCTCTTTTCATTTATGTTATGTTTTATTGTTGCGAATCACCCGAAGAATTTTGGCTATTAGGCAGTATAGAAATGTAATACATAAGCTCAAGGTCATTGGCGGTTTTGGAGCGAGTTGTGATCAGAGCCCTCTCTCGTTTTCTGAGCACGAGCTCTACTTCCAGTTCTCCTTTCATCACAGCAGGTGAGGCTGTGGGTGTGCCAAACGCGTCCCTGGCAACAGCGATGGGCTGGAAGAGGCTAACAAGCTGAAGCTCAGTCCAGACAAGACTGCGATGCTGTTGGTGGGTGGTTCTTCTGACCCGATGGAGGGAATCCAACCTGTTCTAGAGAAGGCTGCTCTCCCCTTGAAGGAGCAGATGTGTAGCTTGGGGGTGCTCTGTGGGCCTTCTTCCTCCTTGAGGCCCACGTGGCTTCAGTGGCACAAAGTGCCTTCTGCCGGCTCCAGCTGGTGGCCCAGCTATGTCCCTATCTGGACAGGGGCCGCCTGGTTTCAGTAACCTGCCCATCTCTAGCCTAGATTACTGCGATGCACTCTACCTGGGGCTGCCCTTGAAGACTGTTTGGAAGCTGCAGCTTGTGCAAAATGCGACAGCCAGAGTAATAGCAGAGACCAGACAGTTTGAGCATGTAACACCAGTTCTGGCCACTTGCGTGGGCTGCCTACATGCTTCTGAGCACAATTCAGGGTGCTGGTTTTAACCCATAAAGCCCCACGTGGCTTGGAACGACAAAACCTGATGGAACAAACACCTCTCCCGGCAGCAATCTACCGAACACTGCAATTCGGGGCCTGCCTTCCATTGCCACCTCCAAGTCAGTGGCAACAAGCAGAACTGCCTTCTCCGAGGCAGCCCCTCATTCGTCTAACAAGATCCCCACTGAAGTCCACCTGGCACCAACTTTGATGTCTTTTTGGTGCCAGGCACGATCGCCCTCTATCACAGCACATTTTATCAGGTTTGCTGCTTAAACATGCCTGTTCAGTTTGTATAAGTTACTGTCATTTTCTACATTAGCTCAGAATGTGGTTTTTAAATTTTGTATAGTAACTTTTATGATAGTTTTATTGTTGCCGTATTTTATATAGGATTTCATGTGCTTTTGTAAACCACCCAGGGAGCTTCAGCTATTGCGCCATATAGAAATAAAAATAACAGCCATCACCACCAGAGGCATATCACAAAGGCCAAGAAAGCTCATGCAAGGAGACGTGTCAGACCTTAAGCATGGACCCACACTCATCTACCAGTTATCTACCAACTTCTATCAACTGTCTCACACACTGCACACAATCCCAGGCTTTCGCATGTCCTAGAAAATCTGCTGGCAGGATCGACGCGGGAGCGTGGCTTCCTCTCCCAGCCATTCCAGTCTTCACGCGGTGCTCCAGAGAGCCCCAAGGCCTCGGGCAGCCTGCTCAGGTAACGCAGAAGCAAGGCTTCCAAACGCCCCCAGTCCGGAACACACCCACGGGGCCAGGCGCCATGACGCCAGAAATCGTCAGGGAGCACTGAGCGTGCTCTGACATCAGCAGTCGCTCACTGCCCCGGTAAATCGGCACACCGTCGTCCTCTTCAAAGGTGGACGCTACCCTTCACACACAGCACCGGCAGCGAGATGCAGCGCGTGCTCAGTGTCCGTCATCAGAAGGGATAAGAAAACTGCTTACCTGGAAGTGCAAGATGATCGTCCAGATCAGGCCCAGGGTCAGCTTGGGGTTGCCATCTGTTATGTCATCGTTGCGGATGTTCACCAGCTTCACCTGGAAGGGAACCACATGAGGAGGTGAGCCGAAGGGAAGAGAACATGGGACACAGGTAGACCAGGCCAGAGGTCTTCAGCCCCAAGTCCCAAGCCCAGCCGGCGCATCCAGCAGACATGGCCAGCACTGGCCGTTCCCCAGCACATGAACCAAGTGCATCAAGCCACCCCACCTGAATAGAAGCAGCTCCCTGGGGGACCAGGAAGACCTCCTCCCCAGCCAATGGAAATGCCGAGGACTGACGCTGAGATCTGCTGCACGCAAAGAACCTGCTCTGAGAAGCCACACCTTCGCCCCCGGGGGTGCACACTGCCTCCAGTGACGGCGCTGAGGGCTTTGTCGGTTACTCCACTGGAGCTGCTCACAGCATAGCCAGAGGGAGATGGTGGCCCCAGGCTGGCATCCGCCAGCCCTGCCTCTGCAGGCTCGCCCTGCCTCATCAGTGCCGTGGCAGCGGGCACCCTCACTCAGCATCGCATGGGAGAGCGCTTCCCAAGCCAGCCTTCGCCAGCCCTCCCCAGGCGTGCTCCAAGCCAACGACGGTAGCTGGGGATGTGGCGAGTCGCAACCCAGCACAGACAGGGGAGGCTGCTGCAAGACACAGCAAGGCTGAGATATCAGTGTAATACGTATCACATGTATTAATACATTACATGTATTGCATTATTGTGAGGCTGTGTCTTATTTAGGTTATCGCCTCCTTGAAACACTGTAAAGGGCAGGGTATTTAAAAAATCAAATAAATAAATAATACATAGTAAATAGATAGGGCAAGCACACCCAAAAAGGTGGGCTTCAGTGTCCAAGATCCCAGAACCAGGGATCTGGTTTCAGTACATTTGAAAAGCACTGCCCTTCATTGAATTTGAATCATATTTTTGTTGAACCTACTCAGAATCGATTTCGGGAAGCAATTGAGCTCAGTGGGCCTCGCAGGAAAATATTATTATTATTTTATTGACATGAAATTATTATTTCATATCGATGCCTCCTAATAACTGGAGCTCTCTTGGTAGTTTACAGTATCTCATAAAATTATGTGATAAAGTACCATATTCTCCAAAATGAAAAATAAGAACAGCTGGAATAACGTCTGACAGAGGGTGGACCTGGAGAATGCCCAGGAGGGGAACCCTCCTCTGGAAGGCTCTTGGAAGAACCCTGAACCCTTCCAAGAAGCCCTGGTAGGTTCTTGCATGTCTTGAAAAGCCTCCGCAAAAGGGGCCGGGCTGACCTGATGCCAAGAAGATGAGGAGGCTGGTGCCAAGCAGGCCTCGGGGGAAGGCCCCTCTCCACAACGGTGGGCAGGGGCACCACTCAGAAGGCCTTCCTCCCTCGCTGCTGCCCTTCAAGCACCCTTCAGGGCCAGCACATGTGGGGAGGCCCCAGATGTTGGCTGCAGTGTCCAGGGAGACTGAGGCTGGGGCAGGAGCTCAACGAACATCACAGTGCCAAGGGAGAACTTGGAAGCATGCAGGTAGCCAATGTGAGTGGGCTAGAACTGGTCTTACACATTGAATGTATTAAATCGAATTAATTTTATTTTATTTCTATACCACTCAACAGCCAAAGCTCTCTGGGCAGTCTACAACACACTCAGACATGGTTATTACTTTTGCTGCCCCATTTTTCACAATCTGCAGCTTCTGAATGGCCTTCAGGGACAGCCCCATGTAAGGTGCACTGCAGCAGTGTTACCGGTGCATCGACCAGCGAAGCCAAGCCATTCGTGCCTGAATGGGGGTATCGCTGGGCCAGCAGGCAGAGCTGGCAGGAGTGATCTGTGCCACGGAGGCTGCAAACGCCCTCTGCCACGCTCCAAGCTGCCAGGGCAGATCCCACGCCCGTCACGCAGGCGATCTTGCTGCTCTTTATCCAGAGCCTGAAACCCTCTTCCTGGACAAAGCAGGCTGCCTGCACCCTGTCCCCACACCACTCTGCCACGCTCCCTTCAGCACCGGGCCGGGACAGCGGCAGTGAAAATATGCGACACTGTCCTGGGCTGCCTGGCTCAGCGCCATCTGCCCGGAGATGGAGCTGCCCTCAGGCTCGCCTGAGCCCCGTATCCTGCAGCTCCTGCGGAGGAGGAGGATGGGCACTGGGGCAACCTGTCCGCGGAGCGCCAGCTCTGTACTGCAGCAAATACCATCCGCCTCAAGTTGCACACAGGCAGGGAAGCTTCTGCAATTAGACCAGGGCATGATGGCACGCCTGTGCAAACTGCTCTTCGCACACCCCCCCCCCCCCGACACACACACAATTTCCATTGAACTAACCAAGCTCAGCAGAGCCTTAAAATGCTGATTCAAATGTCCCTCCTGCAGCCTCTGCCCATGTATTTTAAAGGATGCTGTTTGGTTCAGAGAGATTACTTGTCCCCTCACCACCTCAGACACTGTCTTCTTAGAAATCCCTGCACCACATAAAGTGGAAGCCCAAACCGGACCAGCCCACACCCTGCCTTGTGCCAGCAACTCGGCTCATAACAGCGCAGAGCACGACTGCCCCGCATCATGGTGCCGCAAGCAACACGCTGCCCACACCTGCCTGGCCAGGGCAGAGCACATCCCGCTTGCCCAAGCCCCACCTGCCACCGAGCCATGGCTCGTGCAGACGCTCCGCACAGGGCTGGGTGATTCCCTCCCTAAAGGCCCCCCACGGCTGGCAGAGAAAGGTCTGCCCAAACCACTGAGCCGGAATGTGCCCAGCCACCACAGAGCCAGGCTCAGCCCTCACCTGCCCGATGCCCGGAAGAAGGTGGCCCTGCGGAGGCATGGAAGCAAGCCGCCCCGTAGGAAGGGCTCAGGCACAGTGCTCAGGGCTCACACGTCCTACTCCAAAGCCTGTGCGCAGTGTTATTTATTTATTTATTAAACCATTTTTATGCCGCCCCATTTGCCGAAGCCTCGGGGCGGCTTACAACAATAAATAAAACCAATAAGTTAAAATATACATATAGATAATCATTATAATTTAAAACACACAATATAAAATAAGCCGCCCTGGCCAGATAAAATTCAGTGGTATTAACATTTAAAATGTTGCTTAAAT